GGCCGCCCTGGGGCTGCGGGGCGGCCCCCCCACCCCGGCTGGCCCCCAAGCTGAAGATGGCGTTTTATTCTCAAGAGAGGCCGCTTTCTTTTGTTTCCTGTGCCTCGAGCGCATGGAGGTGAATGGCGACCCGTCCCTGGGGCCAGGGGTGGGGGCCGGCAGGCGGCCGCGGACTGGCGGGCCAAACTTTGCGCGCTTGGTCACGAGTCGCACGGGCGGGAAGAGCGGGGCGGCAGGGGTTCAGGGTCGGGGGGCGCTGCGAACAAGAGGACAGGGACGCCTCGAACACGCAGCCCCCCTCCCAGTGCCCCGATCGGGGGCGCCCCTTTCCTGGATAATGTGGTGGGGAGGACGCGCTGTCCCCAACTGCTGTGGAGTGACTGGTGTCCGCTAAGAAGGGACAGAGCTGGTTGGGGGTGGGGCGCCGCCTTCTCTCTCCGTGGCGCGTTGTAGCAACTTACCTAATGGCCCGAGGAGGTGGCAAGGTAGGATTTGTTCGCTGCCAGGAATGACCAAATGCGCTGCCCTCCCCTCTCAGATACCTGTTTGTCCACTTGTGCATTCACTTCTGCCCACCGTGGTTTTCCTAATGAAAGCGTCTCTCCGCAGCTCTTCAGACTTGCTTGTATTTCTTCTGCTTGTGAAACTTTCCGAAAAACGAGCCTGGGCTGACAGACCCAGGGGCCCATCCCTTTGTCATAGGAAGACTTGTTAGCCTTAGCCGAGTAATTCGGGGGGAGATGGGTTTTGGGGTTTTTCCTCCTAATTCTTTGCCATTTCCCAGAAGCGTGTAATGGGGAAATGTACCTGTGGCTCAGAGCAGATCCTGAATGTCATAGGTAGCTTACGGCTTGTGCTGGATGCCTGGCTAAAACAAGCGCCTCAAATTGGGTTCTCACCCTGAGCCCCAAGAAGGTAAAAACAGCCAGATATTTCAGAGTTCTGGTTCACATCGCTTCTTGTGATCTTGGAGGGTCGGGCATGCGTGACAAAAAGGGAAAGGTGACAAGGAGCGCTCATTGGAATGCCTGGAGAAAGGATAAATATTTTTTTTCTTTTTTGCCTTTCCCTCTGGCTCTCGTGGTGGAAAATGACTGGCTTCTGGATCATACTAAATTCACTAGCTTCTCATTGAGCTGCTGACATTCCGTTTTGAAAATAAAAACGGACCGAGCACACCAAGTGCTGGGCTCCAGGCTGCCTTGGCTGAGAGCGATCTGCAGTGCACGAAAGCTTGGTCGGGAAGCCGGGCTGGCCCGCCAAGCCGCACTTGCAGTACAATTTGCAGCAGTTGTGGAGGTGCCAGCTTGCAGCTTGAGGCCAGTGCTGTGCATCCTCTACCAGCATCTCTGCAGAGAATCCCTTAAGCTCGCCCTGAAGCTAGCTTTGTTAAACCTCCGTGTTGCGGCCCAGAATACCCCAGCGCTCACACTGGCCTGCGCCACTATGACTATGGTAAGTATCGCACCGCCAAGTGCAGTAAGGTGGAAGGTTTGGAGTTGTAGCTGAGCCCCAGACCCAGGCCAGGGCTTGAATCCGCAGACCGACCTCACCGAAGGAACCATGCTGCCCTATAATACTAAAGGGTGGCATGAAGACTTCGGGGGACCACGGTTTTGCTCCCTTTGGGTCGGTCCAGTTAGCCATCTGCTGCCCTCATCTTTTGCCTGACAGAGACTCTTGGAGGGTCTTTCCTGGCTAAATCACTGCCTTGAGTGGTAAATCATTAGGAGCACAGATGGTCTCATCTTTCTCCCCAGGGAATGGCTGGCCTGTGGGGTCGAACGCGGACCCCTTGGCCAGCAGTTGAGTGCTTTAACCACTGTACCATCAGGGCTCCCGTTCAACCATTAGAGGACTCAAATTTAAGATTTAGTTTGGACTGGGGAGACTGTAGATCAGTATAAACCAAGGTGGGTGCTATATCATGATTGCTTTCATATTCTAGAGATGGGGCTATTAATTCTGAATCGAGTGTGTGTCGTGTACCTGATGTTGGAGCTGGATTACAGTGGTCTTGATGGCAGTGTCTGGTCATTGGCAGCTGGAAAACTGCATGAGAGAAGAGCGGTTTCAAGGTGAAAGCAGACATGGGGAGAGGGTTTGTCTGAGGAGTTAGCCTCATCTTCAGTGGCTCAGTAGTAGTTGCTGAATTGCTTGAAGGAAAATGCCATTTATTTTGCCAGGTTCTCCAACTTCACCCTTAAAGAAATAGTGCTTTGTGTTATATTTCTAAAAGACATGCCTCCATGTCTTTGCTATTGTGTATTCCTTTCCTTCTGCTGTTTTATGACGTTCCTTTGGACAGTTTGTGGTACAAAGCAATTGGTGGATTTGTTGTGGGATTTTAGGATTTAGGCATCCAGGGGTGTCAGTAAAAGATTTAAGAGCCGGATGCCTGAGTAATAAAAACATCCACTGCCTGTTCCTAGTCAACATCTCCATTCTCCATGAATGCAATAAATAAATTATAGTTGTTCTGCCTGTGTAAATTCTTTCTGTCAAAGGCTTCTTTAATTGGAAGTCTGGACTAGTTGAGACTTAAGGGCATGCATTTTTATGTTACCTTGTCATTTTTTTCCTTCAAATTCCTAATGATTATAGTGGCTTTTCATGTGAGTTTAAAGGTTTATTGAGTGTCTAATCAACAAGAATTTCCCTCTATTTTTTGAGTACTAAATTATTTTATGGTATGGATTCAGGCAAAAAACGTTTCTGGAAAAAATCGATTTGGGGTGGGGTCAAACGGGCAGCACCTATCAGGTTAGCTTGGTGCAGTGAGTGATGTTGAAGAGCTGTGGATTTCTAGATCATCGATACATGGAAGGTTTTCCAAGTGTCAACTACTGAAGGCCACCAGGAGATTTAACTCTGATTCTAAGTGCTCTCAGTGAGCCACTTTGGTTCCCTAAAGCATGCAATGTACAAGCCTCACCAGCCAAAGACGCCTGGGGTTGGTTGGCAAGAAATTAGACTGCATAGGGTAGGATGCAAATTCAAAATAAGGCCTATTGAATTAATGAAACTCAAGAGCTAATTTGTTATTTTGCGTCCTCAGCAAGGCTGGTCTAGTGAAGCAGAATAGGGAGGCAATTAACAAAATCATTTAGGTAATTGTGTGTGTGTGTGTGTGTGTGTGTGTGTGTGCAAGGAGGTTTTTGGTTTCCACTTTGAATTATCAGGGTGATTAAGCTTTTTTCTGTTTCATTTTACTAATAACCTTGACCCGACATTTCTGAGCGTGGAAAATATTGATTTAAAAAAATTCTATTTGGAAAATAAATCTATAAGTATGTATTGTAATATTTTAGTTTATGTAAATATTCCAGTTGATCTGTGTGTCTTGCACATGGCTGGATTTAACTCTTGGAACTTCCCCTATTTAAACACAACATTTTAATCATATTTGAATTGTCTTTTAACCTGTATGGAGCCATTGGTGGTGTATTGAGCTAAGCATTGGGCTGCTAACAAGTTAGCATACCTTGCTAACTTCAAGGTGGTTGTTTCAAACCCACCAGCTGCTCCACGGGAGAATGATGAGACTGGCTGCTCTTGTAAAATTGTAGTCTTGGATATCTTATGGCGCAGTTATACAATTTTCTAGAGGGTTGCTGTGAGTTGGAATTGATTTAGTAGCAATGGTTTAAAAACAAACAAACAAACAAACAAAACGTGTGTTGCTCCACTAACCAGCGTGGGAGAGAATTTTATGGAGGCGCAGAGATTAAAACGCTTGACTGCAAACTCAAAGGTTGGCAGTTTGAACCCCAACCCCCCAGATTGTCTGTGGGAAAAGGATGTGACAGTCGGCTACCATACAGCTTTGGACACTCGACAGGGCAGTTGTACTCTGACATAGAGGGTTGAATCAACTGTATGGCAATGGTGTCTTTTTTGTGTGTGTTTTCAAAAATCTTCCTGCAAGTGGATCACCAGGCCTTTCTCCTCTGGAGCTGCTGAGTGGCTTCAAGTGCTTAACCACTGCACCACCAGGGGTTCTTAAAAGTCCATTAGGGGCTTTGAAAACTACCTAATGTATAGGCAGTCAATATATCCACTAAAGGCTTATATTATTAGCAATAGCCATAAGCATAAATAGAAAGTACTTTTACATTGCTTAATCAGTCAAAGGTATAAGAGGGGGCAAAGGGCAAGCCCCGTTGTAGTTTGCAGAAAGCTTGACTTCTCGTTAAAACTGTTCACCCTAAATAATGAGTCTACTCTGTCACAAGGGGTTGCCTGAGTAGGAATCCACACAACAGCACACCAACAGCCATTGACTTTAGCAGAGGCGAGATTCTGGCAGGTGAAGCTATTTTCAAATTGTTGCAATTCTTACAGTGAATGTTTTTCTTAACCCTTCAGGCTGACAACTGACCAGCATCTGCGCAATCTGAGCGAGCCCTGGTCTACTTTGAGGGAGAAAGACCAGGCTGTCTGCTCCCATAAAGATTTACAGTCTGGGAAACCCTAGGGAGCAAGTTCTGTAGGGACCCATGAGTTGGATTCCACCCGATTGCAGTGGGTTTGGGCATTTGGGGAGGTGAAGAATGGCCAGTGGTCTCGGAAAGAACCATAACTCACTTCCTTGTGACTGCAGGATGTGCAAGCAAGTCTGTTGAGTCAGTTCAAATTCTAGTTTGTTGAATGATGGAAAAACATCTTCATGACTGGTAGCTTGTCTAGCGTATTTGGTCAGTTTTTCTCTCAAAAAGGATGAAGACTTGGACGCGAAATAAAAATACGTGTTTTCTTTGAGATGGTAGCACTTCGTGCACATCTGTAGTGCTTTTTACAGATCTCCACCCAAAATCATTGAGATTGGGGGGATTTCTTGACTGGGTGGAGGGAGGGCCTGGGTGCCCCTAAGTGGAATTGGGTGCTATGCTCAAGTTCATTTTCCTTCGCTGAGCACTCACCTTCTTGGCCTAGCTTAAGGGTAGATCACCAGTGATTGTAAAGCATATTAGCGAGACTGCAGCATATGTTAAAACTGCTGCCGCTAGATGATGAATGAGTGCTCAGCACTGCAGAGATGGGCGAGGGATGCCCCATGCCAACACATTGGCAGGCAGAGCGCCTCAGTTACTGCAGTGCACGGATGGAGTGTGGGTGCGGCTGACTTTTGGATTCTCTGTGGTTCATAGATGCTGGGCGATGGTGATCCAGGTCTCTAGGAGGTTACTGTGCATTTATGAAGTTTAGATTGTCATTCGTTTTTTTGCCCTAGATCTATTTAATTAAATAGGAGAGGGTGATGAAGACTACTTTTTATTCAAGGAAATATCATTATCTGCTTTTTAGCCGCCTCTGTTTCATGTTGTTTGAATCATTAGCTGGCTGTGTTTCCCCAGTCCATACCTCTTCATGTAGCTATTCTTGGGACAATTAGAGCAGTGTACTTGATAGTACATTAGTGGCAGGCACAGCATGAGTTGAGGTAAATAGTAGGTGCTCACTAAATACCCAGTGAATTGTTGTGAACCGAATTGAAAACACAGGCCAAGAATCAGGGTTAACAGGTGAAAAACAATTGGTAAGGCAGGCAGTGACAGAGAAGTTCGTGCATTTCAGAGTGGACTAATAACGGCAGAGCTTTCTTTCAGTGCACAACCCAACACCGTGTTTATTCTAAAGGAGGGGAAAAATACTGTCAGACCTTCTTTAAAATAAAGCCTTTATTTGAGACTGCTTTCCCTGTTCACCTGAAAGGGAATCTTCACTTGTTGCCCTTTTGTAATAATTCATAGAAAACGATAATCACTATACCGTCCCCAGTGTCTAAATTTACAAGCAAATTCCTATTTTTTTGTTAGATGCAGTATATGAGTGTACGTACTTTGTTGCCACCATGTTTATTTTGAAAACCACAGCTGCAACTTTATCTCCTCAAGAGCCTTCATGGGAAGTGTGTGGTTTTTGGATTCAGGATGCTTCAGTAAGGGTCAAAACCCAAAGTGATTCCTACTGCTCGGGCGACCCAGAAGGAAAGAATAGAACTGCCCCATAGGGTTTCCAAGGCTGCCAAGTCTCTGTGGAAGCAGATTGTCACATCCTTCTCCCACGAAATGGGAGTGGCTGGTGGGTTCTAATCACTGATCATCAGCTTAGCAGTCGAGCGCTTTAACTTGTGCCGTTACTAGTGCTTTGTTCAGGGACTATAAGGTACTTCTCATTATATCCACTTGTCATCAGCTGGGTGGACACCTGTAGAGAGAAGGCAGGGCAAACCAGAGTGTGAGAGACTTAGAAACAGTTATGTCGTGAACCTCGGCCTCTTCTAACAGGGAACCTGTTCTGCTGCTATTTCTTCCCAGAAAACTCACTGCCATCGAGCTGATTCTGACTCTTAGCGACTTCATAGGGACAGGGTCGAACTGCCCCTTTGGGGTTTCTGTGGCTATAAATCTTTAGACGGTCGGCTTGCCTCATCATTCACCTGCAGAGCAGCT